GGGGAAACCAGGATATTTATAGTGTGGAGGCAGTAGCAAAAGCCTTAGTTGATAGGTGCTTTGTAGGATGCCCCATTTACATGTGGTGGTGGGCTTCCACCAGGCTGTCAGACAGTGCCTGATTATCACACAGGAAAACCTGGCAGTTTCATGCTGGAGGACATGTATCTGTGATGGGCACTTCAAAAGGTGAGTCAGGAAGAGAGCAGGAAGGTGCCCTGCTGAGAAAGGGAGTCCTTCCATTCACGCCGAGCTGGCCTGCGGCTATCCGGACATGGAGAGACTGCTACCTTAGACAGCAGGGGTCCCCAACAGGTGCCAGCACAAGAGAGAGATATGTTGCATGCAGGAAAGCTAGAGAGGCTGAGCCATCTAAGCCCATTGGAAGTAAAGTCCCAGAAGTTGAATGTGGAGCTGCTGGATTTGGTGTTTGCCCTGCTGGTTTTTGGTCTTGTTTTGGTCCAGTATTTCCTTACTATACCTCCATTCCTCCCTTTTGGAATGGTAATGTGTATTCGGTTCCACTGTGTGTTGGGACTATGTAATTTGTCTTTTGATTTTATAGGAGCTTACACTTAAGATTTTTACCTGAGTCTCAGAAGAGACTTTGGACTGGACTTTTGAATAGTATTGAGACTGATAATGACTATGGGGACTTTTAAGGTTGGATTAAATGCATTTTGCATTTTACATGGTCTTGAGCCTGTGGGAGCCAGGGGTTGGAATGTGGCTGTTTGAATGAGAATGTCCCCCATAGGCTCCAAGTATTTAGACATTTTGTCCTCAGATGGTGGTGCTGTTTTGGAAGGTCTTAGGTGTGGCTATCCTGGAGGAAACACGTTACTGGGGGTGGGCTTAGAGAGTTCTTAAGCCTTGCTGGATCTCCAGTTGCTCTCTTGCTTCCTGTGCCTGCTTGAAGATGTAGAGCATAGTTTCCACTTCTGCTCCAGCCACCTCCGGCCACCATGCCTTCCCACCATGACAGACTGTAATTCCCCTGGAACTGCAAGCTCAAATAAATTTTTCCTTTCAGAAGTTGCTTTGGTCAGTGTTTCTATCACAGTGACAGAAAAGTGACTAATACAGGATAACCAAAATCAGGATTAAAGTTAAGGAAATAGAAACAAACAAACAAACATAAATCAAAATAAAGAATCCATGAAATGAAGTGCTGATTTATTGAAAAGATGAAGATAGACAAATCCTTAGCTAAATTAACCAAAATAAAGAAAGTAGGCCCAAATTAGCAAAATTAGAAACAAATGTGAGACAATACAACAGTTTCTAAAATTCAGAAAATTATAGTGACACACTTTAAATAGCTATATTCTATGGCATTGGAAAATCTAAAATAAATGGACAAATTCCTACATATATATGTCATACCCAAATTAAGGCATGATGAAATAAATAATTTGAACAGACCCATAACCAGCATTGAAATTGAAGCAATAATAAAGTCTCCCAATTAGATTAGTAAATCTGACCAGATTTACTGCAGAATTCTACCAGAACTTCGAAGGAGAATTAACACCAATACTACTTAAATTATTCACTGAAATAGAAAAAGGAGGCAGGGTCCTGTACTGGCCAGTTATTATTGTCAACTTGATAGGACCACGTGTTCCATAGGTAGGGGATCCTCAGATGGAGAATTCCCTCCATCAGATTTGCCTGTGAGGAATTGTCTTGATTGGTGACTGATGTGGAGGGGCCCAGCACACTGTGGGTGGTCCCATCCCTAGTCCAGTGGCCCTGGGCTGTGTAATAACTCTAGCAAGAGACAGAGAGAGGCTGATAAAGAGCCAGAAGTGGACCTCCTCCATGGTCTGTGCTTCAGGTCCTGCCCTGAACTCCCTCAATGACAAGACTGTGACCTGGATAGAAAACTGAAATAACCCTTTCCTCCCCTAGGTTGTTCATGGTGTTCAATCACAACAGAAAGCAAAGTAGAACAGCCCCTGGACTCTTTACTTTTTAGCACTAAAAATCATGGAAGTATAGTTACTTTGTAGAAAGAAGAAATATAGGGCCTGGAGAGATGCTCAGTGGTTAAGAGTACTGGCTGCTCTTACAGAGGACTCAGGTTTGATTCCCA